AGTTTTTGTGTTTACTTTTTAACAAAAATACTGAATTCACACCGAAGGCCGTATTGTCATTACAATTGACCAGAGATATATAGCAGTACTACAGGAATATAGACAACCTGACACCCGTGAAGTAAGAAACATAGCCGAGAAATCTTGTAGTGTTGAAGTAGTGTACATATTTAGAAGAGTAAAGTAACCAACGATCAAACTTGTCACTTTTAAAACCAACCAACGAGGAAAAGTGATAGTTTTTGTGTTTACTTTTTAACAAAAATACTGAATTCACACCGAAGGCCGTATTGTCATTACAATTGACCAGAGATATATAGCAGTACTACAGGAATATAGACAACCGGACACCCGTGAAGTAAGAAACATAGCCGAGAAATCTTGTAGTGTTGAAGTAGTGTACATATTTAGAAGAGTAAAGTAACCAACGATCAAACTTGTCACTTTTAAACCCAACCAACGAGGAAAAGTGATAGTTTTTGTGTTTACTTTTCAACAAAAATACTCAATTAACACCGCAGTCCGTATTGTCACTACAATTGACCAGAGATATATAGCAGTAATACAGGAATTTAGACAACCGGACACCCGTGAAGTAAGAAACATAGCCGAGAAATCTTGTAGTGTTGAATTAGTGTACATATATAAAAGAGCAAAGTAACCAACGATCAAACTTGTCACTTTTAAAACCAGCCAACGAGGGAAAAGTGATAGTTTTTGTGTTTACTTTTCAACAAAAATACTGAATTCACACCGCAGTCCGTATTGTCAGTACAATTGTAATTAGATTTATATAGCAGTAATACAGGAATGTAGACAACCCGACACCCGAGAAGAAACATAGCCGAGAAATCTTGTAGTGTTGAAGTAGTGTACATATATAAAAGAGCAAATTAACCAACGATCAAACTTGTCACTTTTAAAACAAACCAACGAGGAAAAGTGATAGTTTTTGTGTTTACTTTTTAACAAAAATACTGAATTCACACCGAAGGCCGTATTGTCATTACAATTGACCAGAGATATATAGCAGTACTACAGGAATATAGACAACCTGACACCCGTGAAGTAAGAAACATAGCCGAGAAATCTTGTAGTGTTGAAGTAGTGTACATATTTAGAAGAGTAAAGTAACCAACGATCAAACTTGTCACTTTTAAACCCAACCAACGAGGAAAAGTGATAGTTTTTGTGTTTACTTTTCAACAAAAATACTCAATTAACACCGAAGTCCGTATTGTCACTACAATTGACCAGAGATATATAGCAGTAATACAGGAATTTAGACAAACGGACACCCGTGAAGTAAGAAACATAGCCGAGAAATCTTGTAGTGTTGAATTAGTGTACATATATAAAAGAGCAAAGTAACCAACGATCAAACTTGTCACTTTTAAAACCAGCCAACGAGGAAAAGTGATAGTTTTTGTGTTTACTTTTCAACAAAAATACTGAATTCACACCGCAGTCCGTATTGTCAGTACAATTGTAATTACAATTATATAGCAGTAATACAGGAATGTAGACAACCCGACACCCGAGAAGAAACATAGCCGAGAAATCTTGTAGTGTTGAAGTAGTGTACATATATAAAAGAGCAAATTAACCAACGATCAAACTTGTCACTTTTAAAACCAACCAACGAGGAAAAGTGATAGTTTTTGTGTTTACTTTTTAACAAAAATACTGAATTCACACCGAAGGCCGTATTGTCATTACAATTGACCAGAGATATATAGCAGTACTACAGGAATATAGACAACCTGACACCCGTGAAGTAAGAAAGAAACAGCCGAGAAATTTTGTCCAGTGTTGAAGTAGTGTACATATTTAGAAGAGTAAAGTAACCAACGATCAAACTTGTCACTTTTAAACCCAACCAACGAGGAAAAGTGATAGTTTTTGTGTTTACTTTTCAACAAAAATACTCAATTAACACCGAAGTCCGTATTGTCACTACAATTGACCAGAGATATATAGCAGTAATACAGGAATTTAGACAACCGGACACCCGTGAAGTAAGAAACATAGCCGAGAAATCTTGTAGTGTTGAATTAGTGTACATATATAAAAGAGCAAAGTAACCAACGATCAAACTTGTCACTTTTAAAACCAGCCAACGAGGAAAAGTGATAGTTTTTGTGTTTACTTTTCAACAAAAATACTGAATTCACACCGCAGTCCGTATTGTCAGTACAATTGTAATTTACAATTATATAGCAGTAATACAGGAATGTAGACAACCCGACACCCGAGAAGAAACATAGCCGAGAAATCTTGTAGTGTTGAAGTAGTGTACATATATAGAAGAGCAAATTAACCAACGATCAAACTTGTCACTTTTAAAACCAACCAACGAGGAAAAGTGATAGTTTTTGTGTTTACTTTTTAACAAAAATACTGAATTCACACCGAAGGCCGTATTGTCATTACAATTGACCAGAGATATATAGCAGTACTACAGGAATATAGACAACCTGACACCCGTGAAGTAAGAAACATAGCCGAGAAATCTTGTAGTGTTGAAGTAGTGTACATATTTAGAAGAGTAAAGTAACCAACGATCAAACTTGTCACTTTTAAACCCAACCAACGAGGAAAAGTGATAGTTTTTGTGTTTACTTTTCAACAAAAATACTCAATTAACACCGAAGTCCGTATTGTCACTACAATTGACCAGAGATATATAGCAGTAATATAGGAATTTAGACAACCGGACACCCGTGAAGTAAGAAACATAGCCGAGAAATCTTGTAGTGTTGAATTAGTGTACATATATAAAAGAGCAAAGTAACCAACGATCAAACTTGTCACTTTTAAAACCAGCCAACGAGGAAAAGTGATAGTTTTTGTGTTTACTTTTCAACAAAAATACTGAATTCACACCGCAGTCCGTATTGTCAGTACAATTGTAATTACAATTATATAGCAGTAATACAGGAATGTAGACAACCCGACACCCGAGAAGAAACATAGCCGAGAAATCTTGTAGTGTTGAAGTAGTGTACATATATAAAAGAGCAAATTAACCAACGATCAAACTTGTCACTTTTAAAACAAACCAACGAGGAAAAGTGATAGTTTTTGTGTTTACTTTTTAACAAAAATACTGAATTCACACCGAAGGCCGTATTGTCATTACAATTGACCAGAGATATATAGCAGTACTACAGGAATATAGACAACCTGACACCCGTGAAGTAAGAAACATAGCCGAGAAATCTTGTAGTGTTGAAGTAGTGTACATATTTAGAAGAGTAAAGTAACCAACGATCAAACTTGTCACTTTTAAACCCAACCAACGAGGAAAAGTGATAGTTTTTGTGTTTACTTTTCAACAAAAATACTGAATTAACACCGAAGTCCGTATTGTCACTACAATTGACCAGAGATATATAGCAGTAATACAGGAATTTAGACAACCGGACACCCGTGAAGTAAGAAACATAGCCGAGAAATCTTGTAGTGTTGAAGTAGTGTACATATATAAAAGAGCAAATTAACCAACGATCAAACTTGTCACTTTTAAAACCAACCAACGAGGAAAAGTGATAGTTTTTGTGTTTACTTTTTAACAAAAATACTGAATTCACACCGCAGTCCGTATTGTCACTACAATTGACCAGAGATATATAGCAGTACTACAGGAATATAGACAACCTGACACCCGTGAAGTAAGAAACAGCCGAGAAATCTTGTAGTGTTGAAGTAGTGTACATATATAAAAGAGCAAAGTAACCAACGATCAAACTTGTCACTTTTAAAACCAACCAACGAGGAAAAGTGATAGTTTTTGTGTTTACTTTTCAACAAAAATACTGAATTCACACCGCAGTCCGTATTGTCACTACAATTGTAATTACAATATATATAATACAGGAATATAGACAACCTGACACCCTTGAAGTAAGAAACATAGCCGAGAAATTTTGTAGTGTTGAAGAAGTGTACATATATAAAAGAGCAAAGTAACCAACGATCAAACTTGTCACTTTTAAAACCAACCAACGAGGAAAAGTGATAGTTTTTGTGT